TCCTTCACCTTCACGGTTGTTTCATCTCAGTCTGTTGAACTTATTAGGTGCTGCGTCAAGCAGTCTACTTGTTAGACCATCCAACCCCAAACCAGGCAATGAGCTACGGAAGCTACCAAACCTAAGTTAGATTCGGTCAACTATTGTCAACAGCTTACTCATTCACACACCGTTCTTTGTGGATTCGGTCTTGTCTTACATATTAAGCAATTCTAACAGAACATATGTGTTGAACAAGTAATGCGATCGTTGGTCCACACACTGCTCCCGTCTGCCACATAAATTCACTACCAAGAGTCACGACATCAGTATGAGCAGATGACTGGAGGGAATCCTTAGCATAAAGGAAAATACTCACAAGGTTTTCGAGAAATACACTCATTTGCAAATCAATTTGGTTTTTACGAGAGACTCAACTGAAACTCTCGCTTATGATATTCTACAACTGAATGTGCTGCACACAGGCCACCGCATGATTCAGCTGGCACAATATTCCAGGTTTCGCAGTATATTTTCATGAAGGAAACTACTCATAAGGTTGCTTAAAACTCTTCGACAGCCCACGACCGGTTTCGCCCTTCTTGGGGCTCATAAACGAGAGATTCAGCTGAGTCTCCCGTGAAAACTAAACTGATTTGCAAATGGTCGTACTTCTGGAAAACAGTGCAATTTGGGCTCACTGCGCCTACCTGATGAGCTCCAAGAAGGGCGAAACCGGTCGTGGGCTATCAGAGAGGAATTCTAAGTAGATGTTTTGTCACCTTTGCTGATGCAGTCTGAAGTTAGTTACTCATTAGCTTCCACATGATCAAAACAAAACCCAATGTTTGTTGTGCTACAAATGCCACGGGCGTTAGTTTTAATGGAATCATTGAGTGCGGATTAATCCACATAATCCGCGTCTGTTTAGAACACACCGATAAGTGAATCGTTAAAAGTTACCCGGAAGATGTTCTTGGAGTTGTTTTGGAAATCGTCGAGCTGGACTGCGACTGTTGCATTGAGGTGGAGTATCACGTGGGAATAAACATACGAGGTTTAAGTGCTCCGTATTGATTAAAAGTGTTTTGAGTGTCCTTTGTTGCCCAGGAATTCCGAATATGTCACTGAAAGTAGATGCACCGCTGAGAGGGAGGCCCCATTCACTGAAAGTTACTGATATAAGGAATTTTACTGCCTGCCAGCAATCCCTGAACTTTCTACAGGGAATTTTCCGGGGAATTTTCATGATATAATGCACTACTCAAAAGTTTTGCGAAAACTGAAGAATACCATAAACAAGAAATTCATTTGATTCTCTACTGAATTAAGCTCCATTAGACTACCGCACCAACGGCATATAACTTGGTGTTAAATTGGAACAAAAAGCGGGCGAAAAATAGGAGACTACGCCTACTTGATGAGTCCCACAAGGGTAGGTTCTGTAGTGGACCAACGAAGGCTACTCAGCAATCTCAAGTATAGTGTACTCTTTGAAGAAAATACACTTGAATGCCTTTAATATTGTGTCAAATGAGGGACCTTTGTGGGGCACATTCATTTGACGGATCTCCCAAACGGGAGATCAGATTGTGTTTTTGTTATCACCAGAGTGATTGATAAATGAGTGTACTTCGGCATTATTCGCGTTTTTTCAATGCAACTTGATGTGTCCCCTAGGGAACAGTCATATATGAAACAATCCGTCGACAGAAAGGCTATGGAAGCGCCGAATATCGCCCCATTGTGGTCCGCCTCGAGCTGACCAGTATGGGGGAAGCAAACGTGTGGTTCCATAAATGACCCCATTTGCTCCCTAGGAAAAGATCTTAGCTGAAAATGCCTTAAGCCACTGATCCCAATTGGTTGCCTATTCAAAGAAAACAAGTAAAAAACTGTCTAATTAAGCTATTCACTTAGCTTTGCATGTGGAATCAACACCGCATTTGCAAAAATTTCACGTTAACTACATAATGAAGGTGACGCAACCGAACGGTCTGATGAAGCAGTGCATAGTAACTCAATATTCATCTAAATTCCAATAATCACCATTGATTTTGTTGTTTTACAGACATACGTTTTCGCGATTTGTAAGCGTATTTGGCTTAGCTAGTTCTAACTTGTCAAAAATACCTTATTGTCCTGGCTGATGACTGCTACGGAGCTTCGACACGTACACAAGTGAAAGCAATGAACTTCAACACGTATTGATCATCAAGAGCATCCCCTTTGGACGGCGGGGGAAAGTCGTGTCTTACCTTCAGATAATCTGTTGAAAAGCATCCAGATACGCATGATTTATTAGCTCCATCCACTCTCTAAAGCCCCTTCTTTGGGGAAGCTTCTTGGAAGATGACCGAAGATTGAATCAGTTAACCTCCAAAACTTCGGATGAGCAGAACTACATCGGTTTCTGAAATATTTTTTTGAATATTTTCGAATTGTAACTCCTGGGTGTTAACATGTAGAGCCAAGTCATGTTGTGGTGAGGAAGCAAGAAGCAAAGTGCGACTGCCCATTTGGAGTTCAGTCTTAACTGCCTGATACAGGTGGTTTTCACCACTTACCCACAAGAGCACAGCCTGGCATTACGTAACCTAGAGGTGGCTACCGGTACAGGTGATCCAGTGCATGGAGCACATTACTTGTCTCTTGTACGAGATAAGAAATTCACTTGTTTGCACACGAATTTGGAGACTTAAGTGAGTCCTAGATGAATTTCTCATTTATGATATTTTTCAACAGAATATACTGTAAAAAAGTGTAACCTCATGTTTAGGTTGGTACGGTATTTGCGATGTCGCAATATATTTTCTTGATAAAGCTACTCATAAGGTTGCTATTTAAGTGTTTGGGAACCACATGAATATTGTTTCTTCTTGAAAATTGTAGGATCATAAAAAGCCCGTTTTGTGCTGAACAGTCCAGCAACAACAGCAAGGCTTTTTTATGGGGCTTTTCTGTAGGGACAAATACACCAGGAGACCAAAGCATTTCACTAACCGGGGAGATTCATTTAATAGGTGAACACGTGCTAGGACACTAGTCAGCAACAAAACGGTATCGCTTGGTATCACTTAAACGACTGAGTATCTGCGCGTGCACATAGTGGTCACAAAATCCTACTGGTTTTTGACCTGAGACTCTGTTAGTCCTCTTTTGAGCATGGAACACACTCGGCAAGAGAGCACCGGTTGGCCAGTTAAATACATTGTTCCAACTATTTACGGGCAAACTTGTCCTACAGAACCGAGTGGCAGGATAAGCAGGGGTACATTTGACACAAGTCGTAATGGTAGGGAGAATCCTCGACTCTTTAAATTAATGAAGGGCACTTTCATTGATTTTTTTGAATGGTGTGCGACGAGAAAGTGCTGTGACTTTATCCGGCTGATTGCGGAACCCATATTAGTTAAGTCGGGGAAGTTTTTATTTTTAAAAATATTCTTCCATCAAATACCAGGCAGCGCATTTTTGGCATTTCTGGTGTGACAAAATCAACCATTTTAAACTTGTGTTCCTTGACTGGGATGTCCACAGTTCAGCCTAAGTGACGAAGCATGTGGTGGGATGTTCTGTTAGGAAGCCCACCAAGATTCAGTCAGACGGTACAACGAAGATTGTCTCTCGGCGATTGGACGATCCATGGAATCTGTTCTATCTTCTCATGCAATTGCACAAAATGCGCGTTTTAATCTATTTGTTTCCACTGAACTATAAACACGTTCGCTATAGTGCGAGGTCTGATTTTGCTCGTGACGGTGAGGGCGCTCGTTCGAAGGCAGCCCTCCGGTGTGCCTCAGCCCCTTTAATCGGATAGTGATACCAAAGCCGATATGCGTGTTCCATTTGATCTGCATAGCTTAAGACAGGCGTTGATAGCACAGCGCGATTTGATTGTCTCCTTACCAAGAATTCCCAGTTCAAAGTTTTATCAGAATAATGTCAATGGGTTCGGCTCTGGAACACGGCTTTGGTGGTCAAAAACGCATTTCAGTCAATCGGAAGATGCATGGGATCAATCGAGTAGTCGCTGTTTTCAGAGAGTTTTAGCAAAGAATTAAAGGATCTATCCTGCCGATATTTTTACGAAACCCCTCTAAAATAAAATGTATCCTTGTCGCATCAATCTGGATACCATTGTCTACCGAAGAGGGGTATCCACTGTGATAAGACTTATCAGAGAAGGAATTGTTGGTCGTAGTATGTTCCTCTTGAGGACTTTTTTGATGTTATATCTTCTGACTCGTCAATCTGTGGTATCTGCTGCTAACCCGCCCCAGTCCCTAGTGCCGGAGAAAAGACTCACAGAAGGGAACACAACCGTTTTATTCCGAACAAGCGAGGGCGAGAGCGTGAGTGCGTGCGAGTACGAGAGCAGAAGTTTCAACGACCCCACGCTATTTAAAGGGGAGGGGACTTTATTGATCCAGGCTGTCTGATAGGCGTTACTGAATACCCATCAACATCGATCGTGCCTCTATGAAATGCCTGAACCCAGATCACATTCGACCGTGCTTCTGTGGCATGCAAGAACACTCATCAGGTTTTTCTGAATTGACTAAATGATCGACTGGCCCGGATGCTTGCCGGCTTTCCTGTTGAGATTTTGGTGGAACAGTAGGTTTCGGGTGTTCTGAGGTCACATTCGCGAATCTGACCTTCCCGACACCTGATGAAAGCTGAATATATTGGTCTGGAATATACATATTATCATACTCATAAATGAGGTCAGTGATGTTAAATTTCAGAGGATGATTGCCCAAGAACAGGGAGACGGTAGTTCAAACAAAACCCCGAAACAACCAACACCGAAATGCCTCCAGTAGGTTCCAAACATATGTGGCACTAGCTGACTGGGAATTCCTGACTGGCGGGCCAATGGATCGACACAACCAAGATATGTTACTGTATCGTCGTTCGAGGCATCGGGCGTTTCGCTCACAAACGCGAACATGTTTGCCTGTTCAGACGTAAAAATTTGGATGAGTCCGGTGTGGAGTAGTGGTAATATGTTCACCTCATACGTCAGATGTGTGGAGTTCAAACCCCGGTATGGTCACTGGATATGCACTTCTGATGAGCTCTAATAATAGCGAACCTCCAGTCCAGTGCTTCCCCTTTGGTGTGGGCACACCAGAATGACTGCGCCAGGACAATAGGACGAGCGTTCAAACGTGAGTCATGTGAGTATGCATTCTACAAAGTTCCTCAACCTCCAGTACCTGAAATTTCAGTGTCGTGGGGCGCGATCGACGGCGAACCTTCCAATTTTTTCTACTTTTTCAGGCCAAACCTACAGTGTGTAACACTTCTAGGACCAAGTGACTCACCTTGATTAAGGTGAGTCGCCCTGATAAATTCAACTTTGGAGGGATTGGTATTGTGGGTTAATCGTTAAGAATAATCAGCAATTTAAAGACTATGACACACGTTCAACCACGGAAAAATTCAGGGTAAAGTAACCATACATAAATACACTGAGAAACCAGGATTTCCTTTACAATACTAGTCATGGATGCGGTTATGCTGAGGCTTTATTTCTTTTATCTAGATCCACTCATTCAACGGATGACTGGAATTCGTTTTGGTGAACACTAACCCTTGTCTAGACAGCATTTTTGTGACGACTAATGCGGCATATATCAGTGGTTTTCAAAAAGGAGAGGAATTCCTTTCGGGATTTGAATAATGGCGTCTGATGTCTGTCCTGTTGCCGAAAAGACCCAAAAACGACTTTGAAGTTTTGCTGCAACTAACGGGCAGCGACGCATTAGTTACAATACGGGCTTTCCGGACAGTTGGACGGCAATCACCAATACTGTGTCGTTCATCGTAGTAAAATGCTTATGAGAAGTGAAATGAATAGAAGAACATTCATTTGCATCAAAGAATTTGCAAAACGGTCAGTGGAGCCTGGGATCAATTTCAAGGGCAAACAAACTCAATGAAAGCAATCTTGTTGAGGAAAACCACAGGGGTTTGCCTCCAACAAGCGTAAATGCATGCTTCTATAGTAAACAATTCCAATTTTTTCAGAGCTTGCGAACTTCACAGATGGGGTGATTGCAGTACAAACTGGCTGAATGATCCATACATGAGACAGATAGGCACACTTGGTGGTATCATAGGGCACGGGTATTTTAGCGTTTGTCCAGGCTGCTCTGACACATTCTCACCTTGGGAAGCACCTTGCGGTGGCATCCATTTAGCTAGCTCAATCTGGGGTCCGTGAGCTTGTTCAGAATACACATGGACACAACATACATGACTGTTACATATTCTTTCCCCGCCATCCACCTTTACGTTGTTAAAGGTTTGGACGCAAAATTACCGCGTCATCCGTAGAACTAAGCAAGAAGTGGAATCCATCAGCGCAAGGGGTGAGTACAAACCTGATGTATTTCCTGGATTAATTAAGATTCTTTTCCACATGGACAAATCACACGATGGATAACTAGTGAGACAACTTTGAAATGCCCAGATATTCATCGCCAGTGGCTTCTGTGAATATCCGTGTAGGATTCACGGGCACATGTGGAAACGAATCTCGCCAGAGGCATTTTCCATTCAGTAGAATGAAGTTGGATTTATTTCAAAATCCCTCCACAATGATGGCTGCGAACGCATTGAAAAGGTCACCAACCAAAAGTGCCGAATGGTTCACAGACAGAGGCAAAAATACCAGGAATCATCTATATACTTAAGGCTTTTGATTTGTGGCGTTTGCGCAAGGGATGCAGATAGACGTGCGTAACTGATCCACTCGTACCAGCGTACCAAGATTATCCATGTCTGACGCGTGCACGAGGAGTAAAAACAACAAACGATAGCAGGCTGTCGTTTTCCGCACCATCAAGGAATCAGTGAGAGGACTGATCATGATTTCCCTATAAACTGGATAGCTCCCATAGTTTTTTTTTAAAAAAATGTCTATTTGCGCCTCACCGTTACATGACGTACCGTTTTAGCTTCTTTTCCTCAATTTGAAAGCATGGGGATAAATGGTCAGTGCTTTACAAAGTTTAGCTATCGACTATGGTTAGCGTAGCAGTCGTAATAAATTGTAAATTCGGGATGAACAAGCAACATATCCACCTAAATTATTGCTGAATCCTTGAAAGAGTCACGCAGCTCTGGTACTTGGTCATCGTCAATATAATCGAATATTCCCCGGGATTGGTAAGACGTCCACAACCGGTGATTTTCAATAAGGATGAAGCGGCTTTGAACTGTTTTTAGTCTTTTCTGACCGATTTCAGAGGCTTATATGACTAACAACCTATAAAAAGTTTGGAAGATATTACTTCATTCTGAGAAGTAGTCACTCGGGGAGTCAGTCAACACGTGACCGTCAAGAATAGACCAAACCTTACTGTGGTGTGACGGTTTGTTTACCTCAGCGACCCATTGAGCTATATTGGGGGCTATCCGTCTGACACTTGCAGAGTCTCTCATACCAGGTTGGTCAGTGGTTAGAGTTCTGAAGAACACAATCCCCTAATCCTCCAGGTTAGGAGTTGAAACCCGTGTGGTGATTTTTTCCGTAGAAAATGGTGCTGTACTTGCGTTTCCACCCAGACACCGTAGCTTAAGATGCTGCGTAAAACATCATAAGCAAGAGATTCAGCTGTGTTCCAGGTGAGTTTCCTGTCAAAACCAAAGTGATGAGTGTATTTCGCAGAATAAATTTATTCGTTAAAACAGCTTCACTAAGTGTCAATGTGTCGAAATGACAGGTGCGATCAACGCACACCGCCGGGTTGAGCGCTTAAGATTTTCTTGCCAGATTCACCACAAGAACGGCTATTCGGCTCTTTTTAGCCTGAAGGTTTACCCAAGCCGTTGTTCCGTCGACTGCCCACAAAATCGAATATTACCATTTTAGGAATAGTTTATTTGGTCTATTCACAGTGACTCGGTTGCCTGTCTGTAGTGAAGTTGGCTGATATCGTCACTTTACTTAGAGACGTTATAGCCAGTGACCATATCAGCAACTGTTTGCTCCCCGAATACGTTTTCCGTTGTCGAATGCCCACATGATTCCTATCGAATCAGAATATCAAGTAATTTATCCGTTCCTGAAGGGGTTCGTATTCACAAACTGGCTATGTATAAAAGTATTTTACTGCCGATTGCTTTATTGTTTTAGAGGACCAAATTTCGACAATGGATGTGTTACCGTGACTAAAAATTTCACAAGTATTGGTGCCTTTGATTCATACAAATTACGGTTGATAAGTAGTCCTTAATTCGTTTTGAATTTCCGAAACCTTGCGCGATATTACATATATTGAACCGGCCATCTGTCGTCAGGATGCACTTCCTTCTTTTGCTATCACTCAGCACCCTAAATGAAACAAATTGCTCCAAATTTCAACATTTTAGAAAGTTAATTACTTGGGCCGCCGCCGCTCCTGTTCGTTTGGTCCCCTAACCGAATTCACGTGACTCTCAGACTCCACGCCAGTTTTGCAGTTTTTGCAGATCTCCGAGATAAATGGAAGTTTTCCGATGTCCTACCGATTCCAACTAGTGATAAGAAAACCTGTGGTTACTATTCATGGCGCCAGGGGAGCTGAAAAACGGGTTTGTTGTACAAGTTCTGACAGGTACACTACAGCTGTTGAAAAAGAGGTGCACTCGTGTTTCACCTACATATATACTGCTTTTCCGAAAAAAAACGGCAGGTTGAAAGCTCACAGTTGTAGGGAATTTATCTCAATTCAGTATGCTTGTTGATTACGGCAGAATAGTTTCGAGACGGCGCACGATAAGTAGAGAAAATTTACCATGGTTTGTGCAATAATCTTAGGTATCGTAACACGATTTGTACTTAAGGGTTCGAAAACACTAACCCCTTTTGCAAAAGAAGCTTCAATTGAGAGCACATCTTGGTGAGAAGTCAACAGCAAACCAAATGAGCAATTACCAGCAAACTCAGCTGCGCTGGTCACTGCCGTCTTCCTGGATGGGGACCCCGAGACAGTCCACATCAATGGCTAGAGACATTGTCAGACATGGCCCAGTCGCGCCCTCAATGGCGCTCGTGCATCCAAGCTATTGCCTTCAATGTATAGCTCCTTTTCCAACCCCCCCCAAACATCGGTGAACGAAACTGCGGCAGCTACAACCACTGTTCGGCGAGTACGCGGTTATGACAGCTGACAATGATGATTATGATGACACAAGTTGTGGATCGATAGCGTCGTGATCACCAGGAAACTTTGGTGTGCACATATGGTCAATACTCTTTGTGTGACAGCATGAACAAATCTGATAGTTCATTGCTTCACTCCAGGATCAACAGACGCAAAATTCTATGATTATTCAACCAGTTGCTGAATATCTGTGAAATTCTGTTATAAACTGCACAGGATGTGAGGACGTGGAATAAATTCCTGGATGATAGGAACGTGGCTTTTTTCCTTGGAACTGCTCAAGAAATGAGGCGTCTTAAGAAGCAGTCTGACAGAGTCATCCACTGGTGACTAGCACTAGGAGAGTTACGTGGGACTTTTGCCCGGTTTAATTTTCGCTTACAAGTAGCTCTTCTTTGAGACAGAATTCCGAGCTGTCAGATGACGGTTCTTCTTCTTATGATGCCTGGTATACGATTATTGAATGTCATATAAGTTGATCTAGTGTTTCGGTTACTCATCCCGAGCCATATCACTTGTGCAATTTCGTTGTTAATCCTATCCACTTATCCAATACCAAACGCAGTGACAACACAGCATCATTAGGCTGCCAATTCATTGATTTGTTGTTATGATGAAAGCAAGAAGGCCTTCGCTGCGGAGTTGTTTATCAGAGAAACACCAACTGAGCAGTTACAGACCATTGGATAGGGGAGCAAAGCTCTCATATGCATCTTGTTTACAAAACTGAATATCCATCTTCTCCTTGAACATGCCTTCCTGAACTTTCCTGAATATTCATTGACTGTTACTCAAATGCAAGCAAATGCTGCAAAGCGACTCCACAAAGCCCGTAGTAGATCTCACTTTTCAAGAGACGCAAAGCGGATTCACGAGAAGGCACTACTCGCACGCCTCATCAGTAGTAGGGTAGTTAGACTTTTCTGAATTCCCAATAATGTTACCTAATTGACCATGAGGAACACGCCAAAACTATGGAACTGTCGGGGATGATCTGTGGACAAAACAGAGAAATTAGGTATTAGAACACATGGTCCTACCAAAATGTGACCGATGTGTTGTCGTATCACAGAAACCGTGAGAGTTGGGTGGCTGTTACTTTCTTCGCCGAGGATGTAAACCAGCCTGCACCATAAAAGGATAATACTCAAAAGGTTGCTGAAAACTCTTCGACAGTCCATTTGACCGGTCTTGCTCCTCTTAGGGCTCATCAGGTAGGCACAATCCCCGAGTTTCCGTCAACCTTATGTTCTACTTGAACCCAAATTGGACTGTTTTCGAGAAATTCACTCATTTGCAAACACTGATTTGCAAATGAGTGTATTTCTTTAAGATGGCCTAAACCATCTTCGTTAACACACTGGGTGACATCATCAGTGAACAGTTTAGTGGACAGTTACTTCTTAGCTGTGTGATTTTATATGCCATTTAAAGAGTATCAGCTTGCTCTTGCAGTGACTGAGTAACTGAGGCCAACTGTCCCAAAAGTAAGTTGGTTTGCTTGTGATTTGTATTGCATTGCGGTTCGTTTGCCTTGCATTCGATTAGTTGGTAGGATACCCTGGTACTGAAGAATTTGGTTCGTTCGCTGTTTGTGTTCCGTTTTATTCTGCTCCTGGTGGTGTGACTGATTATCCCGATGCCTTCCATTTTTATCAGTGATCTCCCATCTTTTCGGTTTCGGACATGTCCATACACAGCAGCGGCTGTGCCTTCCTCAAGAGTGCCTACAAAATTGCATCCTCTCACGTAGCGTAACGTCATCACCACTGTTGACCCCCTTATAAACTTGGACAGTTGATGCGCAGGACAGCAGACAGATGGTGATACACACGACCACAAATGCCCACAGAAGCACTGGGAAATATGGGGGAGCATAGCCAACGAACGTAGGGAAGGCTGCTTGAGAACAGTAGGACCATGGCCTCAGGAGCACCGTAAACAGGGTGGCTTATATACAGCGCAGATTTTCTGGCCTGAGTTGAAATCAAGAGAAAAAGAGCAAGAGGCTTGAATAAAGAATCTCCGTAGCAGGCAGTTCACAGAGACAAAGCCAATCGCTCTCCGAATTCATGCTCGATGACTTCACAAACTTGAAGGAGTTGATCAGCCGAGAAGCGGTCGGACGCGACGAAAACGCCCAATAACAATTTTGCCAGTCAGCCGTTCCAACCATCAGACGTACGGAAGAAGGGGCAACTAACACGTTAGAAATGAATGGAAGTCTGAAAATGATTGTGGAAAAACATTATTGTGTCAGTAAGGCAAAAGCAGCATTCGAGGTGTTGTCGCCACCAAGAGCACCAGCAAAGCTAGGAATTAGCGAAACATCAATATGAACATGGAGAAAATTCAATAACTCCCCAAGAATATCAGGGAATGAGAATTCATGGCTTCGCCAAGACCCGACTGCACGGACTTCTGGAGTTACCTACAGAGAGAACTTTATTCTGACCAACGCGGCACTCCCGGAGACAATCTATTCTCAGGGAACTATAGAGTAGTTTCAGCAACTTATTGATTATTTCGAGACCCAACTAACAGAGCAGAATAGAATGTGCACATCGATCAGGACAAAATAGCGGTATCGTTTGATGTGAGCCCAATGTTCACTTCTGTAAATGTTTAATCTACCAAGAAAACGTTTAATGGATTATTGGATAGCCGCTGGAGAAAGATCTCTGCTTAGGCTTTGTTTGACTTTGAATTCAGCGGAAAATCATATAATGAAAAACCACGGGGAGTGCCAAAAGAGGCTCTGATTTTAGAATTTATCAAAGAAATCACAGTACCAACAAGCTGGATCGGGTTGTATTACCTAATATAAATCGCAAAATATGGAACAGCCAAGTATGACATCGTAAAAAACAATGGGCTGAAGCTAAGCTGGTGTTTAAGCTGCTCAGTAAGCCATCCAGTGCATAAAAAAGGGAAACAAAACAACAGGAAACGGGTCCCTCTGGATATTCTTACCCAGATTACCAAATGGAAGGCTATAATTCGAAGTCTACAGCAAGGTGATGCATATGTCCAAGTTCCGAGTTATCGTGTCAGCCGTCAAAGCTGTTTCATATAAGACTGATTCAGGGCACTTTTCAAACAAATTGAGGCATACTGCACTACAAGTAATCCAAAATCCATGCAGAAAAATCTTGTACAGAATTTTTCCGAAGGACTGAGTCTCCAAGAAAGTTGTATTTGGCAGTTGCCTAGAACATCAAGTAGGCCGAAACAACATCAAGAAGGAAAGGTAAACGAATCACTGTCATTCATCAAGAATGTCCCTGAAATGAGTGC